TTTTTTTTTTTTTTTTTTTTTTTTTTTGTTGTTCCCTGAGCTCACACTGGGGTCACTCCAATAAAACACGTAGCGCGACTTAACTGTGACCTTTGAAGCCAAAACTGAAGTAATGGTGCAATTAAGTGCAAACATGGAAATTTGCCTGACTCATAGGTAACATGGGCTTTTAAAACAACATTTAAGGCTTACTGGGGACATTTTATGCATTAAATTATTGTAATATTTAGAATGTCAGCTTCTGTGAATCACCCTCCTATGACGAGTCAACAGCTCTTAACTAGGATTTAAAGAACAAAAAAAAGAGATGGGGAGGGATAAACTTGTTGTTGTTATAGTGTTCAGTAGGAAAACAGGATGATACAGGCAAATAGTTTAATTTCCTCTAAAATGATGTTACATTTAGACCTGGGGCCAAGCATCCACAGCTGTGAAAGGGAGTTTACCTGCACAGCTTCCCACACAGCTGAGCGCAGCCTCAATCATTTAAGATGAAGCGCTGGCATCATCTCTTTTGCCTGATCAAATGCTTCAGCCAAATCAAGGTTTCCCCTCTTTTTTCCAGAAAATGTTTCTCCTCCACCCCACTCAATTTTGGCCCAACTGTTTTGGTAAAGGCTCCTCAATTAACCTGAGTAAATTGTTTACAATTTTCAAAACAGCCTTAAAGTGTTCAAATAACCTCCAAGGTCTACATCGCATCAACAGATACCCATAGCTACTCAGGAGGAGTATTAGTGGAGAGCAGGAGAGCATGGCAGTTCTAGCACAAAGATGTGTATCTTCTATCTAACCAAAGCCTCGGATGACTTGTTTACAGTGCTGCCCAACTCTGGCTCTGACAGATGTAGTGCTGGGGCACATCTTGGCTCTTGACCCCTGGACGGATTTTGATCAGACTGAAAAGGTGAGAAAAAAAAAGAATCAAGGATTTAACAAACTACAAATTGGATGTTGTTCTCCTCCACCCATAAGTGCTTTCTTCCAATGAGCTTTTTGTGCTTAATTATCTTAGAATCGCTTATTCTATTCCTTGTGTACACACATACACACCCAGGGTGTTACTTCTTCACTAAGGGGGGGTGTGTGCGTGTGTATGTGTAGGCGGCTATCATAGTACCTCTACTGCGCACCCTGCCATACAGGGGCAGTAATCCCAGGCAGAGCATGAAATCTGTCTGTCTTTAAATAATGCCCATAAAACTGTCATCCCTGCAGAAACAACGGTCACTGGCTACATCAGACCTCTTTATTAGGATTGTAGGATGTCTTCTTGCTCGTTGCTTGCAAGCACAAGTCTCTTAATGCGCATGCTTGCGTTTCTTTTAACTGGGATACCGAAGGTAACTAAGGAGGGGCAACTACTCTTACAGTAATCTATGTTGGTGAAGCTTAAGCTGTATCTCAGGCATATAGAGAAGAGAAAGACAACAGTGCTGAATTTTAAACTATATATACACATTAAAAACCCCCTTTGTTATGATACCAGGCAGAGATTGAACATGGCAGTTGTAACTGGGTTTAGGCCTCATAGGACTGTCACAGTTGGGAAATCTAGTGGAGTTAGGATGCCAAAATACTCATTCTGACAATATCCTCATTTCCTGAATCTAACTGGCTCCGCTGCACGCGGCCACTACCGGATTCCGTGTCGGAGTCGCTCATTTCTGCATCAGAGAAGTAGCCATCAGTCTCATTGTCAAAATGGTGCAAAATGACCTTTGACCTTTCATTGACTGGAGGCCCGTTAACCGTGTCAGGCTTCTGGATCGGTGACCTCCTAGTCCCTCTGTTGTCCTTTGGTAATTTAAACCTCACGACTGTTTTCGGACTACCTACTGAGTCAGGCACTTTAACCAGGGAACTGGGCTCAGACTGAGAACAATTCATCGTCTCCTCATCTTTGCTTACAGCGCTTCTCAGACCCGAAGAGGCGTGAGAATCATTTGCTTTTGGAGGAGGATGCGAAGATCCTTTCTTTGCTGCTTTCTTAATTTCACCGGCCCCTTTGCGATCTGCGTGAGGCTTTGCCGTTCCTTTCTCTGACCTGCTAGGTCTTGAATCGCGAGCAAAGGGCTTTGTGGCATCGTCCGATAAGTCACTGATGTTGTTAGTCCACTGATCGGAATCCCCCTCCTGGTGACTCTTGAAGAGCGTGTTCAAGCCATTTCTTGACAGTTTTTTCTTAGTGTTCGATCTGGTTTTGCTTTTAACTTTCTTAGTTGCTTCGCTCTGCTTGAATGGGGATTTCAAAGAATGATCCATCATAAAACTTAACAAGGTCTCTTCATCTTGTAAAAGCTCCTCAGAAAGGCCTGGGGTGTTGTCTTCGTGATGGCCATTGTTCAAGGACCATTCACTCATTGTCATGTTCTCAGTGGTAATCTGAACAGACTGGGCCAACCAGCTGTTGAAGAACGTCCCATCTATAGGAAAGGAAGTTGACAACCCTGAAAAATAATCAAAAGACAAAGACACTTGTCTAAGAATTCAGAAGCATTCACTGTGTGCTCAGACTGCAAAGCTAGTCTAATGCAATATCAAAACTGTAAACTGTGATAAAAAACCCTGGCACAATTCTCTGGTTCTAGGCAGACATTCAAGAACTCAAACATCTACTGCAATGCGCCATGCAGCGTGTGAGACGGTGTACGTACATGCTTTGCCTTAGGTAATCCTGGTTAATTGTGTGTATACTGGTAAATCCCATACGTTATCCACACTATTCACCAGGCATAACCGTGTCCCTAGAGAAGTCTTCTGGAGCAACTGAACCTGGATCTAAACCTGGGCTAACTGAACCTGTTCTCCACAAAGAACAGACAGAATCCAAAACTTCTTCAGAGGTCGAGTCACTGCAACCTGGCAGACCTACAGCGTGCCAGTACAGGTCACCCTGTGTTCATGGCAAACGAGATACAGTACTTCAGCTAGATGGACTGTGCATGCTGTGAAGGATGAGTGACTGGGGAGAACTGGACCGAGAGCCTAAGGCATCCAGCCATCCAGAAGTACTACAGTCCTTTCAACTACAGGACAGTCATACACAGGAGTCTGTCAAGAATGGGAAGGAGATGAACGGCTGGATGAACTCTAGTCCCGCAATGAGAACTCTGCTCTTACTACAGGCCTTTGCTTTGGGATGGTGAGAACCCGCAGGTTGCAATGCTTGTGCCAGGCGGGGGCTGAAATGCTCTCAGGGCACAACCTTTATAAGAGCAGCTAGGTAAGAAAGGTGTTTAGCTGGAGTCCTGCTGGGAAAGCACAAAGCAAAATCACTGGTACTATACTCCCTCTTTTAGTCTCTTGAATCGTAATTTTAGTATCCTCAACTCCCTGGAAGAAGAAAATTAAGCTTGGATCACTCCTGTCTGAATGGAACAAGGTCAAAGCTGGAACAAATGAAAAGAGACAGTCAGGATTACTTCTAATAATTTTATAAGCCCCAACATGTGATGGCTGCCTTGCAGCACACACACAGTCACAGGCAAAGAAAAGTATCATGTGTGGGACATGGCATAGCTCAGAGCATCAGCCTCCCTCAGTCGCCAATACCTGCAGCTCTTGGCATCAGCCCCACATGATGTTTCTCACCTGCAGCACATTGTACAGGGCTGGGGGAGGGAAACTCTTGTCTCAATCCTGCAGGTGCTTAACTGCGCACTAAAACATGACCCATGCTACTCCTCATCTGAGCTTGCATAGCCAGAGATGTTATCAATGAGCAAAAAATGAGAAAGCCCCTTTTGAGAGCACACTGTACCTGATGCCCCCATCTGTCTGAGGGCTGGGGAGAGTGTGTGAAGAAGGGTTTCCTTTGACTTGTTCTAAACATCTCTTTTCATTTAAAGAAGTGTCTCCTTTAATCTCGCATTCTGGGGCATAGTAGAAAGAGGGACCAACTGGATAAGCTGCTAAAGCAATCAACCAAAGTACAAGGCAGGACCCAAGATTTAATGAAAGCAGCAGTTTCCTCAAATAAGGATCTGCCTTGCACTATTCCTTTTGGCTGCACAAAACCTGCAGGCGCTTCTGAGCTTGGACTACGCTAATGTTAGTAGAGATGCTGCCGTTAGGTTTAAAAAAGGGGGCTTGATTTTAACAGACAGCTGTACAGCCTCTGCACACACAAGCTTCGAAGTCAAACAAATGACGTGGAAGGCATTTCAGATGGACTTTGTGGTTTCTAATTTTGAACTTAGCCTTAAAAGTCACTTAGGTTGAAGGCTCATTGACCTGAGTGGAAGCTGTGGCTGAGGACTCAAAGAACTTCAAGATACGACCTGCTGTTGCTATGACAGTTTCTTTAGGTTTTAGCCAAATTTATTAAGACAGGCAGTGATTAAAATATCCCTATCAGATGTGAAACAGTGATTATTAAACAAGAGAAAGCTGTTCTGATCTGTTACAAGTGACTCTAAAATAATATAGCCGCCACTACTTTTCTTAAGCTGTCATATTTCCATAGTACTGCAATGCACCAGACTTCTTTTTTAAGGCAAATCCCAATCATCTGATCCCAAGAACCTGGTTAATCCTTACAGGGAACACTTACTGAACTATACTAGTTTATTTCTTAAATAAAACTGAAAGCAGGAAAACAACACATGTGCTGTGAAGATGCAGATGTGTTAGATGCACCTACTGCCCTTGCATTCCCAGCTAAGCCCAAGCCAAATTCTTTTCCTCTGGCCATCAGATCAGGAGATGAATTTCCCCTTGATTGCCTGGTCTGTTGCACTGATTTGATAGCAAAATACTGAGCAAACCAGAGCAGGAATAGAGAGGGTGGAGGGACAGACTTGTGAGGAGTTTTAAAGCCAGGCAGTAAGAATGAAAAGGTGATAACATAGGGGTGAAGGCAGGAGAGCCACTGACACATATGAAAGGTGCAAGTGCTGGAGAAGAGGACAGACTATTTCTGCACTGGTAAGATAATTAGCAAGATGACCTAATAGTAGATCTACAGGTGTGTCCCAGCTCAAATTTCTATGACTGATATTTGCTAGGAATTCAACTCTAAAAAATGGCCTATTGAAGGGAAAAAAAAGAAATTCAGAACCCTGAAGACCTGACATAGAAGGAATTCATTTCTCATTATGAAAGGAAGCCATTCCTGTCCATACTTTGCTAACTTTATATGCAGTTGTGTGTTGGTGATTTAAACTCAGTTCTGCCCTGCTCTTTTTAAGGGACAGCACAATACACGACAAACCCCTCCATTTCAGACTGGTAAGAAAACACTGCTGTGGAAGATCACCGCAGAGCTAGCTACCTGACGTGACATCACTTAAAGCTGAGGACTTAGGACAATATCCAAGGAGGGGGGGAAATAGTGCTAATGAATATCACAGGCGATCTCAAAGCACCATGTAAGATGTTTCAAGGAGAAAGACTCTAGAGTATCCTTGTTAGCATAATGGGATATCTACTCTAACTGCCCTTTTGCTGAGAAACTTTCTCTCCCTACTGCTATGGTTTCAGAGCTATCAAGAAGGAAAAAAAGGCAGGGGGGAGGGCAGGTAAGCCAAATGCAGGATACAAACCAAACCTCCCCCCAAATTTCTTTGCCCTCCTAGTGCCAGAGAGCTCCTTTCTAGAGTTCTCAGGCTTTCCTCCTACATGCTGATTGGGCAGCCAGCCCCCTTCCTCCCTTCATCATTTCCTCCCACCTGTGGGAGAGGAGGGGGTTAACCCATTGCCTGCCAGGGTTTAAGCCAGGCAGCCTGCCACACTACATGGACACTGGGGGTGGGGAGGTCACAGATACTGTTTAAACATCAGAAAATAGATCAGGCATCAAATTCCCTGTAAAAAAGAAATTGTGGCTGCCAGGAAAGAGGTTTTTTTGGGATGTCTGTTCCGGTGCAGTGCAGGAAAGGGTTCGAGCTAGTTATGCATCGCAATACTGGGGCAGTCTGGCTATGGGAAAAGACGGACTAATGCTGAGAGCAGAGTTACTCTGCACCCATCTCGTGGCTGCCCATGGCTGCCAGCACAGCTACCTGGGCCAAGCCGCTTTTGTGATGGAGGGGTGTATCCCCAGAAAGGAAAATCACCTTTTCTCATTAAAATGTATTGAATGAATTCTTCCCTAGCTTCTCCCAGCCTGAGTGCAGCCTTCAGCCTAAGAGCTGTGTACTGTGGACAAACAGCCCCTCCTCCGGGGTCATGGTGCGGGCTGGTTTACCGTGTGCCTCGCAGCATGGAGGGGAAGCAATGTAAGGAGCTCTCACCGTCCGTCTGTCGCTCAGCGGTGGCATGTGGGAGCACGTGGCCTCCAGAGCTGCCGCTGCCTCTTAGCCCTAACCCCCCCTTTCCCAAACAGCAAAGCCTTTCCGATTCCACTGACTCCTGCCTTGGCCAGATGCTTTAAGGCCATGTTCATTCAGTCAAACTTACCCAGCTGTCCCAATACTGATTCACTCCCTGATTTCCTTTTTTCTTTCTTCTCAGGACTGCTTTTTCTCCCATCTCTTCCTTTCCTTTTGGGGTCACTTTTCTTTCCCTTTGTTTTCTTCCCAGTTTGTTCTGTTTGGGTTTTTTTTCCCCCCAGAAAAAAAAAATAAAAATAAATGTAAGATCACCTAATCAAGGCATCTGTGATAACAGGTGACTGAAGAGCACAGGAACCTTGGGATAAGGGTAAGGAACTAGAACAGTCCTTACTAGCCATCTTCAATGAAGGAACACCAGACTTCAATCAAACCTGGGACCAAAGTGCCACAGGAGAGCAGTGCACCATCATTTGGGCAAGTAGATGTTACTTTTCTTACAGATCCCACAGGTTTTGATTCCTACGGGTTATGTGAAGAAGTAACAGGACATAAAGCACTTAAACCCAAGCTTAACATAGGCGCAGGAACGGCTAGTGGATGGCTCACTTGCTTAAAACGCTTTGCTAGATTAAGCCCTTTAGTGCCAATGGTTTCTGTATTGAGAAGCCAGATGGGTATAAGTCATCTAACCACTGCAACCTTTGCAGCTGGCTGTATAATGCAAACTGTGTATGTACATCACAGGCAAACACACAGGATTTATCCACGTTCTCTGCCTTAAGAGGTATAAAGCTGCAACACAAGTTTGACAAAAATGATAGTTTACAGCATTTTTCAGCAGACCTGTCTTGATTTGGTCCTTCTGATGTAATAACTACTGTTGCTTACAGCAGGAGAAAAAAAAAACCTATACAGCTTTAAGCACCGTATTGAACCTAGCTAAATGGAGCAGGAAAGACAATGCAGCGCTGCCTATAATAACCTAGAAACATAATTCATAGCCATTTGGACATTCAGCTAAAAATCAATATGTACTAAATGGTTTTGCATATCAACTGGATGTATTCCTCTAGGGCAAATAGGACTATTTATGTACCCTATGGAAAGTACAACTATTATTACCAGGTGAGATATTCAAAACTGTATTCTTCTCATTCATGGCATAAGCCTTCTCCTAAAGAAGTCCATGCAAAAATTCTTCTTAACATCAGTGAGGGGGGGGACAGAGTCCTGAAACCAAACGCAGAGGAGATTCAATTGCTGAAGGGACTGGAAATGTGATAAGAAATTTTTCCTGGCTTGATCATTAGCTTGACTCTGACCCAGGCTGGCGATGACCAAAAGCTACTCCATGTGATAGCTGTACAAGGGTGGAAAGGTATGAGCATCATGTAAATCCCCCCCCAGACTTGTTAGCAGTTTAGCAGTGAACCTCTGGACTGAATGAGCCACGGAGACTGAACTCTCCTCTCCCTCTGTCAGGGCTGATACGTGCTCGTGCGGGATTTTGCATGATGCCTGCCTGACAATATACGTGGATCTAGATTCAAAGAATATTTACATTTCTGTGGTTGCCAATCCAGGACCTTCTCATAAGCAAAGGACTCAGTGAGAGAAGGAAAGAAAAGCAAAATTGGTATTTGCTACATTCCTGCCAAGCAACCAGAGAAACACAGACATATTTTTCATTTCACTTACAAATAAAAATATGACTTTGTTTAGACAGCACAGTGGTTCTCAACAGAAACATGAATGTTACCTTTTGAAAAGAAACCTGTCAAAATAGCAACTACATTTCAAAGTCAGGCAGTCAGCAATAGACTTTCCATTTCATGCATGGCAGATATGCAAGACAGAAAAGGGCTTGTTTTTATGTGGGAAATTCCCCTTTGCTTTAGTGAGCATCTCCTGCCTATGTCATCATTCATCAATGGGAAAATAAACCCCCAGGCTCGTAGTTTTATATGGAGACCCTTCCAAAAGAAAACAGGCCACCTGGTTTCGTTCATTAAGTACTGTGCACTATAAGTAATAACTATGCTCAATTGAGAAAAGTGATGCAGATTTTTTTTCTTTTCCCCAAGTCACAGGAATGGAGCGCAACGAAGTTAGGGAAGCTGTGTGTGGGAAATGCCAGGAGAACAAATTTCTTCTCTGCTTGCAGACCATTTAGTTCTGCATAATAAAGTAAAAACGGCCAATAAATTATCTAAGGGCTTGATCTCGCAAAGGACTGAACATTACTAAACTCCCATTGACGTCAATAGGAAATGAGAATGCTTAGCAAATTTCTGGACACCATGAAATAACTATAAAGCAGGTACAACACAAACACCAGATGAGGGGGAGCAAACATCAAAAACATTTGATGAATGAACAGTCACAGCCTCTATCGGAAGTGGTGCAAGCTGCATCACTGAAAGCACCTAACACCGCACCAGAGAAAGCA